TCCATTTATAAAAGCGTTGTATATTAAAAAGTTTTTTTTATATTATTTATTTCACTAAATAGGTTACTAAATTTTTGACCGTTTAATGTTTTTTCCGTCTTTATTAGAAATTTGTATCTTGTAAACACTTCAATTTCACTTAGTCAAGTTTACTTTTTATTTTTTATTTTTTATTTGTTCTTTTTTTTTTCTGTCCACTTCGCACCCGATTGCTCGGGCGCCACTTACAGTTCTCGGAAGGAGAACTGATAAAAAATTAAAGTTGCGGTGAACTCACTGTTCACCGACCAAAGGAAATACACAAAATGATTTGATTCACAAATAAATAGGTTTATTGTGCACTGGCTGCACTCAAAAGGAAATATGTACACAAATTAATTTGTTTCACAATAGATAGGTTCCTTGTGCACTGGTTGCACTCCCTCATTCAACTGATTCGAACAATATTCATTTCTTACCAACTAACTTCTTAGTCTAACTTACTTATGGCTACGTTGCAGATCCCACCACCAACCGGCATTTCGTAATCGATGAGTTGCGCGTGTAGGCCAATATTGCTTATGCTGCACTTCTCACGCCTTATTGGGCGTATTGTGTTACCGATCGCTTGCGCGTGTGCTAAGTCAGCGAAAGTGCTATTTGGGGCAATGAAGAAGTCACATGCACGGCAACGTGAGTAAAGGGTGCGCCATTGGTTAGTATTGGGATTACAGGTGTGATAACTTATATATATGTATACATACATGCGTGCATTCAAACATACATATATACATATGTAGGTGCTCGTATCCGTCATGCGTAGCTTTACTTCTTTTTTCCCCTTCCCTATACTACCTATATATTCCTTCTCACTCATGTAACATTTTCAGTTTTAAAAAATTCACTCTCCATTTTTGCGATACCGCCGCCTAAGAAGTTTCACTTCAAAAATCTTTAAAATAACCGAGTAGTGCGAAGTGTTTTAAAATGCCAAAAGCGAAAAGAAATTTGTCAATACAAACGAGTGCCACAAGGGCAATGGCCCGTAATCGGAGAATAGTAGCGGCGGCGCGAATAGAAACGATGCCTGCAATTGGAATTAGATCTGCGTTTATTTATCGACCTCAATTCAATTATATTGCTGATTTTTACAATAAAAGTATATCTATAGATATCAGTGTCAGTGAAAAATATAATATCGTTGCCCCAGCCCCAAATAGAGAGGTTCAGACCATCCGGCACAGTGCCGGTTTTTACCGTCAGTGCTGCTTTAGTGTTCGTTCCGCAATTTTTTATACACTCTAAAAACAGCATGTAAAACTGTTACTGAAAAGTGTTTATTTTCAAACAAAATATGTGTAAGTATACGCATAAGATGTTTAAGACTGGATTTTTGAACATGAGATGTTAAAATATACACATGAAATGTTTAAAAATGCAAACGTTTTTAACGCAAACAAAACAAAAATAAAATTAAGTAAGTTTTATGTGTAATTTTGCTCTACGCGACAAATTTGGTATGTAAAAGTAAACAGTCAGTGTTTAATTGTATTAACACGATGTCTAAATTTGCACACATTAGAAGAGGAAACTGGTAACCTCTATTAATATGCGTTAATTTAAACAAAAAGCGTTTAGAGCAAATTTATACATTTTATGTGTAAACTGTGTAATTGTAAACACTAAGAAAATTCTATAGAAATTTTTGTAGTTAAGTTTAACTAATGATTTAACTATACTTTAGGTAAATTGACGGCCCTAAGGGCCAAATTCACAGTACTGTACTGTAGTTAACTGCCGATTCTGAGTTATCTACGCACTGTGAATTTGGCCTTAAATGTTTAGAATTCAACAAGCAAATTTCAAATTTCTTCTACGCCACATATATGGTAAGCTTAAGTTAAAAAATACTATTTAAATTAATTAACACCGTGTGCAAATTTGCATACATTAAGAGAGGAAACTGGTTACCTTTTTTAATATGTTTAAATTTAAACAAACATTTTTTAGAATGTATTTAACTCGGCAAAGATTTGTTTGTGCATTTCACTGACGAGCTGATGGTATTCTATTGCAAGTTTTGTTTTATATGGAGGGGAAATTAATCGAGTTGGTACGGTAACTTGGCAATAACTGCCAATTGATCATTAGCAAAATAAGTCTTGGTTTCAATGAACTTAATTTTACTGAAAGTACCGGACGACATACTACGGATGTGTGTGAATTGGTATCACTGATCGATGCTGATTGGCAACGATACTGAACTGATGCGCCACTGATTTGTGAAGATAGATCTGAACTTTTATTATTATTACCAATCGATTACAAGTTATTCTATGTACATACATATGTACTATAAGTTGGTTGGTTGGTTGTAGTGCTACCTAAGCTATCGCTCAGGAAACAATTAGCGCATAAAAGCGCCATTTTGGTGCACTTCTCGTGGACAATGATATTTTATTATGCCAGCGGTTCAGTCAAACCATTTAGAACCGCTTATAAATTTGTATAAGTCGCCTATTGTAGCACTAGATAGATCCGTTAACTGCTCCACTATGTGTTTCCCGAAAGATTTATGTCTTAAGTAAACCAGGCCTGGGCATTCACACAGGAAATGTAAATGAGGGTTTAGTGTACTCCTTTGAGAGGATCTTACTTAGCCTAGCTGAGTCTCTTACATTTTCTATCGAGGAACAGTAGGTTTGCCAGGACTTGGCCTTTGCTATCCTTAGTTCCTTTTTATACGATTTTAACGCACTTTTGTAGGGCACCCAGTTCTTGGATCCAAAGCACTCGTTAAAAAGTTTTCTAACGTTATTTCTAAGAGCTCTAAGCTCCCCATTCCACCATGGCGGGGATTTCTTTTTCATGACACTCAGTGGGGTTGATCTTTCATAGGCTTTAGTCATCACCCCCTCTAAGTTGCTTACGTTTCGTTCTATCTCATCTATTGAGGTAATATTTTCTACCAGATTAACTTTAGTTAGTTTTCGCGTCAAGACTCTATTGTATTTCTCCCAATTGGTTCTGCGTGGGTTCCTGTATTTAGAGGGGGTGTAGGATACCCCGCGTAGATTAAAGAGTATCCAGCAGTGATCAGACACTGATGGCCTGTCGGAAACTCTCCAGTTCTCAACGGTAACGCCATCGTTCTCAGACAGCAACGTTAGGTCCAACACCTCCTCCCACCCAGGAAACCGGTCTGAACTTGGGAAGATAAAGGTTGGTCGGTTACCAGTATTGCAAATACTCAAACTAGTGTTTAATAAATAGTGTAGAAGTGACTCACCTCGCTCGTTTTCTGTTGTGCTGCCCCAAACTGGATGCCTGGCGTTTGCATCACATCCTATGACAATGGCTCGTCTGGGGTTCCGGTCTACTATAGTTTTGATTTCCGGTGGCGGACTGTCCCGTTCATGGGACATATAAGACGACACTAACAAGACATCCTGTTGTCCTGCCGTCTCCACCTTAGCTACTGTTGTGTCTGCTGTGCTGAAATTAGAGCAAAGGAATGCATTTATACCCTTCTTGATAAGAATACACGCCCGTGGTTTACCAACCTCGCTCTTGTAGAAGAGATTGTAATTGTAGATATTAAGGCCCATTACTTCGTCGTTCCTGACCCAGGGCTCCTGTATTAGGCTAATGTCGATGTCCTCTTCGCTGAGAAGTACGACTAGACTATCTGTAGCACACTTCGAGTGCTGCAGATTTATTTGGACTATCTTACTGGTCCGGTTCATCGCTCAGTTTCACTCCCATAAGGAGTTCGCCTGCACCGTCGACGCCCGGGTCCTCTTCTACTGGGCTGACTTCACCAAGGAATACTCTTACCTTAGCTTTTCTAATACCGAACCGAATCTTATAGTCGGCCTCTGCTAGGGCCTCCAAGGATTCGGAGCAAATCGCTAGGAGAATTGGCTTGTTTGTGGGCTTTCTCGGCTCTTCAACTTTGATGAGCTCCCACTCGTCTATTGCTGGTATGTTTTTATTATGCAGCTTTATACACCGCAGCAACTTTTCGCCAGGTTCGGCTATCGGAGGTAACCAAATGCGCGCACGGGGCCTCCTAGGGATGTCCTTGGCTGGTATGAGCTTGAGCTTCAAGCCCTCGAATGCGTCGCAAATCTTTGCTACACACCCAGCGAGGAAGTCCAAGGAGAACTGGTCCGCGCATTTGATGACCCGGTATCCCCTCAGGGATTCCGATGAGTCAAACTCTGGATGAGGACCTTCGGGGTTGTCGAGGATGTAGTCCATTACGAGACTCGACAGCCTCACATCGATCTCCACCCACTTTTGCTGCACTGCTAGCGGCGTTCTGCTACCTTCGTCAATGATTGAAGTCTGAAGATGGTCTCTTGCAACGTCGCTGAAGTAGCGATGCTTGGTGGATGTTGCGGACTCCGCTACATCCCCCTGCTTCAATCGTTTGCGGTCAGCTCCGTTGCCATTCTCGTTTTGAGACCTATTTCTTTTTTGGGTTTCGCTGGATCCCATGGTGGCAGTACGTTCTGTTTGGAATTTCTTATACTCTTCCACCATGGCCATATATCTAAGCTTATCTTCCTCATCGCGCTCGTCTACACGTCCGGCTGCTGCATTTCTCTCGATTTTGTCGAGCATGTACAGAGCCTTCTGGTACCGTTGCTTTATGAACGCGTTTGAGGGTTTCCTATGCTTTTGCAGCTGGGTACTGCTGGTACCGGCCGCGTGCTTGCTACATGTTGGTCTTTCTTCCGGTGTACTATGGCTGGCACTACCGGTACTAAAATTTTCTAATTGCAAAACGGCGGTACTATGGCTGGCACCTTCCGTTTTGCTACTGTTTCCCGCTTTTTCCTCTGAGGTGCTATGGCTGGCACCACCAGAGGAAATCGTTGTCGGGTTTGTTGGTTTTGCAGGGGATTTCAGGAGCTGTTCTTCCTCCGATAGCGTCTCATCTTCCCCAGGCTTTCGTTTTTGTTCTTGCTGTTGTTGTTTTTGTTTGGTTTCTTTATTCATTTGTGGTCCCACGAGTAGTCCGGAAGGGGTTCGTCGCTCGTCCGCAGAGCCGGTATGCATGGAGAAGGCACTTATACAACCGACCTTGCCCGGGCATCGGAGGGGACCGTTCGCGACCAGCCACATTTTACTACCCGCTGACCATTCATCCATCGGCACGGTGGCCTTCACACCTTGGCTTGGGTAGTGTTGGTGCGGTAATCCCCGCATTGCTCTCCTCAGCGGCTCAAAGCAACGTTTCATCTTGAAGCGTCAAGAAGTGCCGCAGAAGGATGTAATACGGGGCTTCCCTCTTAGTTCATGTTGCCATGGTGCACCCCACACTGTGGGGTATACCATGACATCATTTAAGCTTCCCCGCCACGGCAAGACGACCAACGTTGAGGAAGCCTATAGTAGTACTATAAGTACTAGGGTTACAATGGCCGGCCAGATGAATTATTGATACTAATAAAGGCAAAACTCTTCCCCTGAAGAGGTTTTCCCATTTGAGTTTCAATACGGGTTCTCCTTAACTTTGATGCAAAATTACTCACGAGGCGTCGCGAAGCACGCTGGGTATTTGCTAGTTTATGTATATTGTAACTATCAATATCTTATAAAGAGAAGTGTAAAATTTTTTATCTAGAACTAATAAAGTTAGAAGGACGAAATTCAAGGATGTGGTAGTTTACATATTAATCCTTGACATATATTTTTTCAAAAATAAATGTTGGAAATTTCCAAGGTTATTCAAGGATAAAGTTTTAAAAGGCCATTTTCAACCTTTATTCGTCCTAGTGCAACAAAAAATAATTTTTTTTTTAATTCCTCAGAATTTTCCTTTTAACCGATACCCATATTGTTACTCTACAATGCACGAAATCTTTTAAATAATTTTTATATTCAATCATATCCCGGAAATTTCAAATTCCTTAAAAAAAAAGAAATTCTGACGTCAGAGAGGAAGATTAAAAACTATACTCTATTTGGCTCCTAGTTTTGTGAATATATTAATTTTTTCGTGTGTTTTAAACATTTTTGGTTTTTGTCGCACGGTGTTATTTTTAACCGACTTCCAAAAAAGGAGAGGTTATCAGCTCGTCGGCATATTTTTTTTTTTTTTTTTTTATGTATGTTACCGCATAACTTTGGACCACGTCAACCGATTTCGATAATTTTGCATCGGAAAGGTAGTGTCTCAGAGGTGGTCCCATAGTAATCTGGTTTAAGATCCGATCAGTGGACCATGAGATATATATATACATATATATTTTTTTTATATGAGAGTTGAAGTCGGTTTTTTTTTTTTGTTTTTTACCGCATAACTTTGGACCACGTCAACCGATTTCGATAATTTTGCATCGGAAAGGTAGTGTCTCAGAGGTGGTCCCATAGTAATCTGGTTTAAGATCCGATCAGTGGACCATGAGATATATATATACATATATATTTTTTTTATATGAGAGTTGAAGTCGGTTTTTTTTGCTACAAATTACTTATTTAATGATAGTTTTTACTGGCGCTGGAGCCGAGTTATTGCTCATCGATTCGGAAGCACCAGGGGTCAAAGTCTAATTACTCCCGTTAAATCAACCATCAGAACCTTTGCGGTCCTTGATTTACGGTGACTAAACAGAATGTGGTCCAATGATACTCACCAGTTTGGAAATTACCACCAACTATACTATACAGATTCAAGGACGATTCACTATCGAGCCGCAAGGACTTCTTCCTGGTATAACGCTTTGGTCAGGTTATTTAAGGCGGCAATGGAGGATATGATATGCCTTTTGTCGACCACGAAACCAAACGTGAACGTGAATTCCGTTGGACCAAATATTTCAATAAAAAAAATTAATTTTAGGCGGGACGAAGTTCGCCGGGACTGCTAGTTTAATAAATTTTTTTTTGTTTTGCCACACCGTGTAATAAATAAAAAATGCATTAAGGGCCGCTATCTTATCTATTTTAAAGTACAATTAAATCATTAGTTAAACTTAAGTACAGAAAATTCTATGTAAATTTTCTGTAATTAAGTTTAACTAATGATTTAACTATAATTTAAAATTGATATATTAGCAGCCCCTAATATGCTATTTTTATTATAGAAATTTATGTGCGCTATGTGTTTTCTAACATTCGCTCTAATAACTTAATACGTAAAAGTCTTGTCTGTTCACCAAACCGGTCTATAGTTTTATCAATAATCTCAGATTGGTTCTCTGATACAAAACTTTCGATGTACGCTTACACCGAGAGAAAAAACACATTTGAAAGAAATACTTGTAGCTCTTGTAAAATTGTAAGGAAAAAGTACTTGCCACAACATCCTTACTTCGCGCCCTGGACCTGGTAACAAAAATATGTTTCATATTTAATTTAGAATATTCAGCTAAGAGCAAATATGTGTAGATTTTTTTACAAGAACTTACATTTGAAATCTCTTCTGAAGAGAAAATTCCAAAATTACAAAATATTTTTTCTAAACAAAATTATGTCCAGTGAGAAGTACTTATTCCACCAATGCTCAAATTTGCTCTATTTCTAATAACTTTTTAACGCTGTGAAATAATTTAGTTTTTCATTTGAATGAGGAACATAAAACTCCAGTACTTAATGCGATAATTATTTTTTAATTTCCAAATATGCACAAAATAAACTTACATTGCTTACTTTATTATATTGTATACATATTGGGGCGATGTTTTTTTGGGACTATTGTTTTTTTTCACTCCTACCTCGAAATTTTGTAGAAAACACCTAAAAAAAGCTCCCTGAAAATTTGAACCCTTTATATTAACATTAAGTACTCGTCCAAGGCGTGCAAAGATTTCCCATATAAAATATATGTAAACTTTACAAAAGGATTTCCCTGAATGTGTTAAAGACTATTACATTTATTTTTTAACTAAAATATTTATGTATATCTAAACACTTAATGCACGTCCCCTACTTTCATATAACGGCAAATTTAGAAACCGCGAAAATGTGCTTCTTCGGTGACTAATGAAACCAATCCGCACCAATTTTAAAGACTGCAGAAATGGAATCACCCTAATTGTATTTTGTTAATGTGTGTAAATACTTATATGCTTGAAACTACTATTAACTTATCAAACGATTCCTAATCTTTGACAATGCATGTTTGACTTCATTCACCACGATCTTGAAAATTGACCAGATAGGCGTGACCAAGTCCATGGTCCTTTTTAACCGACTTCCAAAATCGTCGGAATATTTTTTTTTTTATGTATGTTGCCGCATAACTTTGGTCCACGTCAACCGATTTCGATTTGCAACGGAAAGGTAGTGTCTCAGGGGTGGTCCCATACTGATTTGGTTTAGATTCGATCATTGAATCATGAAATATATAGATATATATATATTTTTTTTTTTAAGTCGGTTTTTTTTTGCTAAAAATTACTTGTAATATTACATAAACATACGAAAGCATTAAAACGTTTGAAATAAATCTCTTCTTACTCTTTTGCTTCATTCACCATGATCTTGAAAATTGACCAGATCGGCGTGGCCGAGTCCATGGTCCTTTTAATATACGAAAGCATTAAAACGCTTGAAATAAATCGTCGGCTTAACGTGCAAAGGTGCTAAGTCCACTTTTTGCCAAAAATTAAATTCTGATGCTGTTCGGTAGATAATTTGAAAATACATACTATGTTAAAAAAAAACCTTGTCGACTCTTATTTTAAAGTGATCTAAGCAGCGGTGTGCAAAAGTGACATGTACACATATGACAAAACGCACGCGCTAAGTCCACTTGACAATAGTTTTGTTCTAATGTGATTTCTACATATAGTGCTGTGTGTTGTTTTTTGTGCTCAAGCAAAATTCTTTGCTTATTTTAATTTATTTATTATTTAAAGGTAAAAAATATCAAATTCAATTTAATGAATATGAATTGGACTAAAATTTGCATATATTTAGACATTTCAATGGACACTGATAAAAACAACAACGAGTATTTCAGCGAATATGGTAATCAGGCAGATGATGGAGTTATGGAACTGGTGCCTTACGGCTTTAATAGCGATTCGGACGAGTCGCTGGACCTTCCTTTAAAATCACAAACGCGGNCGGACGAGTCGCTAGACCTTCCTTTAAAATCACAAACGCGGAAAAGAAGAGGAAAAGTTGTTAATCAGGCATGGTTCGCAGCAAAAAATAAAAAACTGAGAGAAAATGGCAAACCTTACTTGGGGAAAAAAAAGATAATGGCGTGTGGAATCATCGGAGAGTTAGAAATGCAAGAGTTATTGGAGAACGATGTAGGTGTAAAAAAGCCACTGGGTCTGCTACCCTCCACTGTGCAGAAGTCACTGAAGACCAAAGACAAGTAATCTTTAAACAGTTCTGGAAAATGGATTGGAGAGAGAATCAAACTTACGTAAATACATTGATTCAAGTAACAACACCTGCAAGAATGCGAAATCGTAAAGATAAAAACCAGACAAGAAGGGGTCGAACATTACAATACCATGTAAGGGTACAGCAAAAAAATGTTAAAGTTT